AGCGTATTCTGGGTTTCACCCTTTCTATATGCTTAGATACCTTCAGCTGTCAAAAATGTGTCCTTTGCATCAACCGAGAATTTTTTCAATAAAAATAGAATCTGCCATTTGTTAAGTTTGCAATGTGGGTTACTCTAATCATGAAAAGTTTAAGTAAGTCCAAAGATCATAAATTTTCTTCTCATATAGTATCAGCCACTTTGATGCTCTGATCACTACAAGAAATCTTCCCCAGTTCTTCACTTAACTGGAGGATTTTAAGCAATCTTTTCACTCACCCTAATTTGGAGTTAGCAGCAGATGGCATCATAGATGTCACTTATTATAATTTTGAATAAATTAACCCACAAAAATAACCAAAATCATCCTGGGATGTACAAGTTTTGAGACAGGACTGCCATTTGCATTCAGGCTTTCATTTTCTTCTTCAACCCAACATCTGGGCTAAAGCCTGAGGTACTGATGAATTGCTGTCTGAATTCTTAAGTAGTTTTTTTTTTTGTCTATCAACAGAAGGACTCAAAGAACCCCATGAAAGAAATGGAAAGATGCGTGAGGAGCTCAGCCTTCCACCTGAAAGGTGCATTTCTCACTAATGGAACAAATTATCTGAAAATTCTTGCTGCCAAAGAGCAAGACCTCAAGAGGAACTGCAATATTTCGAGGGCATCAATCCCAGAGCAGAGACATGGGCGGTTTTCCGACTTCTGATCTGAGCAGTAAAGTTCCCTTTTCACCAAGATGTACCTCACCACAGACCTCACCACCTTCGGAACAAAGTGCAAGGCTGTACAATAAAACCCACAACACTAAAAAGAGAGCGAACTGCAAACTGCACGGACATGCAGATCAATGCAGATAAAGAGCAGCACCGTAGCAGCGGAGACCGGTTCCTGAGGGCTGTCACAAAGAGAACACTGCCACTGCTTTGCCATCGGATGTGATGTGAAACAGCACCTCTTCCACCCTGCAACCCAGGACCCACAGCTCATGCTGAGAGCTTCCTTCAGCCCCACAACCACCAAATCTAGGTTTTGGATGAGTTCTGGGAAAGTGTTTGAACAGGGTCTTTTTTTTTCCAATTGCAGTTCCATCCCCATCTGTGTTAGACACATTAAGAAACTCGACTAAATTGATCCACCTTTAAGGTGGGTTTAAATCTAGTCACTAAACATGGAAGACTGCTTAAGGGTACGTAATTCAAGCAGCTTTCTGCAAGTGGCTCTGGTGGTGGCCTGAAATTTTAGAAGAGTACTTTTTTTCCTTCATTCATCTCCTTCAGATGCTCTGACAAACCAGCCAGCTGCCAGCTGGGGCATACCACAATGCTGAAGTGATGCACAAGCTATGCCTGCCACAGAGGTATTGAACTTTGCTAACATTACACCTTTTCAGGGTCTAAATCCAAATTCTAGATCATGCCACCCATACTTGTGGTGAGTATCACTTTATTCCTCCTAGGAGCTTACCACATATAGAAAGGCCTGACAAAACTGTGGATGGGGGTGATAGCCACAAAGAGAAATGAAATCATCTTCTATGATAAAATCATCTTCTATACTAAAAGAAAAGTGCTAGTGGTCAGCATTAAGAAAAAATCCTGAAAACATATTGTTCTCACGCACTGGATGGCAGCTAATGAAGTGAGATGTTGTGAAGGGATGCCAGGAAGTTGCTTGTGTCAGTGTGTAAGAGCAGCAGAAGAAGGAGTGGGGCTAAGGAAGCACAGGCTACATAAGCATGGGGACCACCTGAGCAGCCTCACTGCTCTATCAGGATACATACAGTACTGACCTAGAATAATAAACAGATACATGCATTTCATGAACCACTGCCAAAGCTGCTTTATAAAAAGCCATTATATTTCCCATAGATAGAAAGGTCTCCAAAAATACTGCCTTTTAATAGATCCTACATTGAGGATGGTGGATCAGGAGGTGGTAAAATAAATGACAGTGTGAACCTCTACAGGGGCACCAACCCATCACTGAAAGAGCGTGAGGAGACATCTCAGCACCACTCATGTCAGGTTCTAGAAAATGGAAACAAGTATGCAACAGAAGCTGCCAACAGTTGCAAGTGACTCAGTCTTGGAACAGGTATAAAGCAAACATTTTGCAGGTTATTTAAAATGCAAATTGTTCTTCTATACATGCAGCTGTTGGAGCACAGGTAACATCTGATGTAAATGAGTCACCTACTTTAATCAAATGATATAGCTAGAGAAAAACGTAGAAGAAAAATAATGACTCATATTGTTTCTTCACATTTCTGTCCCCATTACAGTTGTCCTCCAGGTTACTAGGGGAATGAAAAAGCAGGTTATTTTAATGGCACCTCAGTATAAAACCAATTCTCTAACCACCATATTAAAAATTAAACAGCTTTGCATCTTTAATGCATACTTTTCTTTTTGAAGACAGAATCAACAGTTGTGTGGCCATATGTATGTGTTTTCGTTGTGTCTAATGAGCAACTGGAAAAAAATATACAGGAACCAGCAAGGGAGAAAATACACAATTAAAGAAAATATGACAAAAAAAATTAAAAACAAAGAAAGCAATACTTGTTCCTTACTGACAGGAAGCACATCCTCAAAATTAAAATAAAAAATCAAGTCAGGCAACAAGGATGCTAATATGTCATGTGTAAGAAAATACAAATAACAACACATCTTTGAAAACACTGTCATTTTATCTCCACTAGGTTTGCCAGTCTCTCATAATGAACCCAGCTCATTGTCAGGTGTCTTTGTATTTAAGCCACCAACCAACACAGTCTACATTGATATGGTCTCAGTCTTGTCAGCCCCTGTGGGAATCCCCTGTGGGGATCTCTCTGGATCCAGGGGTGTTCACATCCAGTCACAGGGCATTGTTCATGCAGCACTCTCCAGGCGGTGCTGAAATACACCTTATGCCTAAAAGTAGTCCTTTTTGAAGCACAAGAACCTCCCTGTCCCAAATGTCCTTCACCATAACTTTTAAGCAGGCACGGAAAAAGGTAAAACAGAAAATCATACAGAAAATGGCACAGAGTTGTTTTTGCTAGCAGCCTCTGGCCCCATAAGCTGAATCTACTTGCTCCTATGTGACTAAGTAATTTTCATTCCCTCTCTCCTCATCAGGCGGGCATAGCTGTATACTTGATCTTCCCCAAGCAAATGTTCTGCTTCATCTTAATATTCCCTGAGGAACAAACATAAGAGAACATTGTGGTCCATTGCAGGCCCAACCAGGCACTGCACGGTCCTGTGCTGCAGCAGAGAAGGTCCCTCAGTGCACTCTGGAGCTTCCCTGATGGTGTTTCACGGGTACCTCTGTGCAGCAGTGTGTGAGTGCATCCAAAATACCAACATCCCCAGGGGGTGTGTGCCTACAGACTTCTAGTCAACAGAGCAGGGCTGATTTGCAACTGGGCAAGAACACATTTTCAAAATGTGCTCAGCCCTACGGAGACCGGAATTTCATTTTCCTTAGCAGTGCCCTACCTCTGGAAACAGACTGAGTAAAGCAGAGCCCAGCCACTTTGGCAGGTTTTGAGTTTCTGCACTGTAAACTAGGACCCTCACTTCCTCTCATTTTATACAGCAAAGTTTCTCCAAATCCTGCAGGAAGCCTACTCTGTCCCAAAGGACCAGCTTCCACCCCCAATCATCCTGTGCGCACTAGCAGGGATTCACTCCTGAAGGAAGATGGTGGGATTCTGACTTACACATTGGCTTTTCTCACCTATTAATATCCCGAAGCAGATACAAGGGCACGAGGTAAAATTCTGACATGCAGTTGAAGTGTAATGTGTGAAGCAGCAAGATGAGGGGTTTTGATGTCCTGGCAATACACCCTGGAGCTTTCCTGAGACTTTTCTGCCCTTGCAGTCGGAGATGCTTTGGCAAATGGATGTGCAGCCACAATGATATCAGGATTCATTCATTCATTTGTGTGAACATGGGTATAAAAGACTGGAACTCTCCAAACATCAAGGAGAAGATCAAGCACCATGTACCCCAGAAATCCACACCACGTACCCCAGAAATCCACACCACTGGCCACCGAGAGAAGTCCTACATCTGGGAGAGCAGGACAGGATATCTTTCCCCATATTCCCAAATTCAGCTCTGCTCCGTGGTGTCGGACACAAGGACCCTTCCCTCCCTCCCCCTTACCTGAGCCGCCCACGTTGGACCGCAGCAGGCAGGTCCTCCGGGAGGAGAAGGAGGAGATGTCGCTTTGGGAGCGGCCGCGGGGACCGGGCAAGGACCAGACGGGCAGCGGTGCTGTCCCGCTGCTCCCTGGCCTCTCAGCCATCGTCGACGGGCAGCCGAGAAGGGCAGGGAGGAGAGAAGAGGACGGAGAGAGGCGGCGAGGGAGGGGACAGGGAAAGTTTGCAGAGGAAGAGCCGCCCCTCTCCTCCGACCGCCCCGCCGGGACGCCGGCGGCGATTTTGGGTCTCTGGGAACATAAATTTTGTGTTTGCACAAGAGCAAAGCAAAGTGGGGGGCTGGGTGCGCAGATGCATCCGTCCCCCAGGGTGTCTTCATGCTCCCGCCATTGTATGACATCGGGGGGAAAAGAAAAAAAAAAACGGAAAAAAAAAAAAAACGGAAAAAAGGGAAAAGAGAATCAGTTAAAAAGAGCCGAGTAACCCACACCACCACTTCTGTTTTGTGTAACAGGCTGCCCTCTCCCCCGCAGAGCCGGAAGGTTGCACAAGGCACCGCATCCCTGCAGAAGAGCCGCGAGAGAGGCGAGTCAAATATCCTCCCCAACCCATCACCTCCCTCCCCATCTTTCTTAAGGATTGGGTTGCATGTCAGAGACTTAACTAACTTCGGCAGGAAGGTACTGCCTTTCAGATCGGTCGCACAGACCCAGGCAGAAGCAAAATCAAGCTTCATGGTTTCGTTTCCTGGTGTTTTACAGAAACCCTTTTACAACAAGATGCACCTTTAAAAGGACATTTAGTGTTCACATTGCTTCTTACAGACAAGTCATATTACATTCTACCTTGAATAAAATCCTCTCTGCCCTGCAGCCACAATAACAAACACAGAAAAGACCGCGCCCTATATTTTTAATGCATCCAGAGTTGCATTATCTAGTTATCCAATGTGAAAGTTGCTTTCAGGCTGCATTTTAACAACTACGACTCTCCAGGTCTGAATCAAAACCTATCAAGCCTGAAACTTGTCCACGTGAAATTCAGTTTCTGATTTCTGCTTTCACCCAGGCAAGGGAGTGCCTTCATCTCAACGCCGAGCCCGTGCAGGTCCCCAGGCTCAGGGGTTTTGTGATCTTCCCAGCAGTCACCCTCCGCATTTGTCGAAGCAATTGATCTGGCACAGGAGTCTCGTATGTCAGCCATTAGTCAGGTCGAAAGGTCTTTTCTGCTCAGCTTCCCTCAGGGGATTGCCTTCGTTATTTCCTCTTCTTCTTCCCTCTGCTGACAGAGCAGCCTGCTCCTTCCCCAGCCGCAGAGCTTTCCCAGCGGACTGTGCTGTGAGAGGGAGAGGCACGGGCTCCTCGCAGGGCAGGGCAGGGCAGGGCAGGGCAGGGCAGGGCAGGGCAGGGCAGGGCAGGGCAGCGAGCTCCACGCTCACAGCCCTCGCAGGGGCCCGGAGGCTCCATGGCCACACAGGCAGGAACGTTGTACCCACGCTTAGAGAGCTTTTTGCAGCACACCAGTCCTGTGTTATTTACAAAATCTGACAATGCGCTATTTTTATTATTTACCCTTTACAGCTTGCATCATTACAAATGTGATTGTACACCAAAGACCTTTTTCCCCGACAGGGATTTCTGTACCTGGGTGTGTGTGGGCTGGTGACATTTTCTGGACCTGTTTATGCCTTAATCAGAAGTGCACTCATCACTGCTATTTACTGAAATGTTTGCCACTTTTCTTTTCCCTTTTTCTTTTTCTTTATTTAAAGAGGTTTGTTCAAGTTCAATATTGAAATACACGGTCCCTGCTCCAAACCTCACCAAAGTTTATGGCAGGTCAGCGAGCTTTGGGTCAGACCCTGACTTTTTTTAACATCATTTTTTCTTCCAAACATTTTGAGCACCAGAGCAATTGTAGCTTTCTCACACTGTACAGAATGTATGCTTCAAAATTTCCACATTAAGGAGCTGTCTGCAATCCTTTGGTGTGATCAAAAAGGAGAACATGAAGAAATCGAAAGATAAACTAGAAAGGACACCATACAAGAGGTCAAAGGCATCTAAAGATTCCTTTTGAGAAGCAAAGTGACACCTAAAGTGGTGAGGGGAAAAAGAAGACATAAAGTAGGTCAACGGTGAATGTAAAAGAGATATGAAGAGGCTCCTGCTGTAATATCAAAGTGCTTTGGTAAATCAGAGTAATGTGAATAGTCAGAAAGAATAATGTGCTGGAAATCACAAATGTTTTTTATCTGCCTGTAACTTATTATATTAATCAAGGTATAGAGATGAAAATATTACAAAATCACGTACATCTTGTTTTCACAGCCCTTTAAATGTTTTTTGAATTAGAGGTAGGTAACAGCTGTGGTTAATGGCGCTAGAAACTGAAGCTCTATTTCCATAGAACAGCAGTAAAGTATACGTCCTTTCCAGTTGGAGAGAGATTCATTCAGCTGCCTGCTCATTAATTTTTGACTGTTCTGATGAGGTTGCTAAAGGAACTTCTATTTGTGGTGCTGATTATAAAAAGTTAGTATTTGCTGATTAAACCAAATTATTTCACAAAGTCTGTCCCATGGCAGCTGGGGGTTGAAGTAAAAACACAAAATTCAGGCATCGGGAAAAACTGGAGAAGCACCAGTGCGGGCAACAAATTGCTGGAAGATGTATATTTTAAAGTATGTGCCTGCCATCCATGATCTGCAGCACAAACGCCAAGTGTCATCTACTGAACTGAGGCAGCTTCTGCACAGGCCACGCTAATGATCGGAGAGAAATGTTTCCTTGACAGGCTTTGGGCCGCCTCTCTGCCCGGGAAGCCCACGTCCAAGTCTGCTGGAAGGAGCTGCACAGCGATGTTACACCCTGTTTTTCTTGGGAGGGCGAGGGAAGCTGAGCCTGTGGTCGGAAGCAGGCGGGAAGGACAAACCCAGCAGGCCGCCGAGGCCGGCTCTGGCTGCAGCTCCAGGGCTCGGGCCCGGGTCCGGCTGCAGCTCCAGGGCTCGGGCCCGGCTCCGGCTGCAGCTCCTGCCGACGCCCTCAGGCCGCTCTCGGGCGAGGCTGACCGGGCGGCCGGGGGAGGAGCCGGCGGGGCGGGGGAAAGCACGGCGGCATGTCGGCCGAGGCATCAGCCAATCACTTCATTTTCTTAAAATCCTTAAAATCCAGGAGGCAGTTTGTGGCCGAGCTGCCAGGTGGAGCGGCTCCCATGGGGAAGAGCCCCCGGGCGGGGCGGGGGAGGAGCGAAGGGGCAGCAGTGCCGGCTGGGCTCCGCGGGGCCCCGCTTCTTTTCCCTTCCCCGGCCCGGCCGAGCAGCGCCGTGAGCCCCGTCCCAGGGAGCCGCGTCCGGCCCCGCCGCCTCCGCCATGTCGGGCGCGGGCGGGCGCGCCGCGCTGGCGCTGCTGCTGCTGGGGCTGGCGCTGCTGGGGCTGGCGCAGGCCCGGCCCCGCTACGAGCCCACCTGGGGCTCGCTGGACGCCCGGCCGCTGCCCGCCTGGTTTGATGAGGCGAAGTTCGGCGTCTTCATCCACTGGGGCGTGTTCTCGGTGCCCAGCTTCGGCAGCGAGTGGTTCTGGTGAGCGGCAGCCAGAGCGTTCTGCTCGCAGCCGAGCCGCTGCGGCGGACGGGCCGTGCCGGCGGGCCCCGGGCCCCGCTGGGGAAGCGGCGCTGGGAGCAGGCGGGGATGGTGCGCTGGGCCCCCGCACTGCGGTGCTTTGGGTTGGAGCCCCTCCGCAGGCTGACCACGGAGCGCAGGGGTGCGGGAAGAGCTCTGTGTCCGCCCGAGCTCACGGGCTCCATGGCGCAGCTTGCAGAGGAGGTGGAGTTTGAAGTGGTTCTGCTGTGTCTGAGCACCTGTCTGCCCGGCCCCAAAAACTGCTGCATTCCTAGGCTGAAGTGACTAAATTAAGCAGAGAGCTGGTAGAGCTGAGAGAAGTGCCTTGCAGCACAACAGTGTTGGTGAGAGGTGGTTGGTGGAGTGGCCGAAAGGGACCTCCCCAGGACCACCATGGAGGGATGGTGAAGGGGTCTCCCAGGTTATTTGTTTGGGATCTCCCAGCCTCTGGAGCAGCCTTGTGCACCTGCTGGAGCGCTGTGGGAATCCAGGAGCCCATCGCTACTCTTGCTTGGCAGGCAGCCTTGCTGTTTTCTTGTGCACATTTTGTGCTGCTGATGGTTTTCTTCTCTTTTTGTACTGTTTTACTATTACTATTATTCAAGAATGCTTTGCACTTAAGAGAACCTGAAGCTCTGATCCTTCAGATAATTTTAGTTTGGAGGCTCAATGAAGTCTTTGTTCTGTGAGTGTTCACTGGTTCAGGCCCTTTGGCTGTAAACATGTTTTTGCTGTCACCTTTCCATGCTCTGCCAAGTACTTCCTGTGAGACTTCAAGTGAGACACATTATTATTTGCAATATGAAGATAAGGGTAGCTTTGTGGCAGAGCCATGGCCAACCTTAATTGCAATATTTGCAAAACAAGCCAACACGTATCTAATCGAACCAATGTTTTCTGACACCTTTCTTTTCAGAATTAAGGCCAAGTGTTTCAGCAGGGTTTTAATGTAGAGTACATTTACTAATAAACTACTTTTAGAGCCTCACTCAGAGTGCTGTACTCTGATAGTGGTGTACAGGCTCAGGATGCAGCATTTGGTTTTTGACCCCAAAACTCTAATTGCTTTTTATATTCCTGTATTCTCCTATCCCATGGCAGGTGTGGGTCTAGAGCTGCTTTACGGCCTTTGACAGCTTGTGCAGTCAGATGACTGAGGTCCTGTATTAGCAGCATCAAATGGAAGGTCACAAACTGTTATCACCCATCCTGTGTGCCTTCCCTCAGAGCTCCACAGCCTTAGTAAGGATGTTTCTGGAACCTAATCCTGTCAGCATGGAAGTGTTCATGTTGGCAAACCATGTGGCTGTGGGAGAGAAGCAAGGTTGTTACTTTTTAATTTAAGAAATTGCATACTTTGAAATCAGATGGGGTTTTGTTTGTTTTTATTTTTAAAAATTAATTTGTTTTGCTTTATTGTTGTTACTTCCTCTGCCCCTGGCTCTTTCAATGAGGAAAGCTGTCTCAGCCTCTTTCTTTTTTTTTTTTGTCCTGTTGGCTGCCACAGATTGTGTTGGTTTATGCTGAAGTGTTTTTGGGAAGCTTACAACAATATTCACACAATGGCCTCAGAGAACTGAGGCTGGAGTCCAGCTCAGGACAGGAGAGAAAAATTAATTTCAAACATTCAAATTCTGGCCCGTTTTATTCCTTCACTTACAATCTATTTTCATATAAGTCTAAATTTGACAAGAGGATTTTTGCTGCTTGGTTTCATTCATAGGAAGGTGACAGAGGTGCATTTGTAAGTGTGTGATGTTCTTTCGGGGCAGGTTTTGGTTAGAGGACGTGCCTCTGCTTGCAAGCCTCAGGCGTGCAGAGTCTGCAGTGACCTGGTCACAGCTCTCTGCCCTGGAGCTGTGGACATTGTTGCAATTGTGTAGAGGGCTTGGGACTGTCAGAGAGGTAAAGCTGATGATCCCCATATTTGTGAGTAGCAGGGATTGCAATGCTGGGGGCAGAGCAGAGATGCCTGATGGCTGAGGTGTGAGACTTGAGGAGGTGAGACATGCAAGTCCAGAAAAAATGCATTTCTCATGCCTCCTGAGCTGCTTACATAGACTGTCTGTGGTCTCTAGTACAGTTTTGGGATTTGGTTATTGACCAAGACTGTCATTTTTCCATTCTCAAAGTGTAGCTGCTTTTTTCATTGCTTCTGAGACCTTTCCAAAGTGGAGTGCAAAGATGTAGAATATGGACAAGTAAGATAGAAAAAAATTAAATCTTTGCTAATCAGTACTCTTCTGGAGCAATTTTGTCTTATTGTCATTGTTATGTACCTCCAATGCCTCTACCTCTCAGTGTTAAATAGGAGCTGATAATTTAAGTTCTCTTTTCTTTATCTAAAAATGTATCAGCAGACATGCTGCTTTGTTCTGTATTTTGTAGGTGGTACTGGCAGAAGGAAAAGAGAGAACCCTATGTGAAATTTATGGACACAAATTACCCACCTGGCTTCAGCTATGAAGATTTTGGTCCTCTGTTTACAGCAGAATTCTTTGATCCCAACCAGTGGGCAGATATTCTGAAGGCTTCAGGTGCAAAATATGTTGTTTTAACTTCAAAACATCATGAGGGTAAGTGGAAGCTTCGTGAATGTTGGTAATTGCTGCATTTCTGTCAAGAGATGTAAATGCACGCGACTTTTCTACCTTCTAAGAGACATAGAAAAAGTCAGGCAGGCTTACCTGCCCCACCACAGCCAAAGAGGAAACAAAAACTTCCCAAGAAATCTGCAGGTGTTTTCCTGACTCTTACACAGAAGCTGTAGCCATGGAGTATCTATTGCATATGAGGAGCAATAGATTGTGCTAGTGTTCTCTTGCTGTAGGTATGACAGACCAAAGTGGTGGTGGCAGCTGAGCTTCCTGCAGTGGCCACAGTTTATTTTTTATTTCTGTGCAATATATTGCTGAAGGAACAATAAAAGTGAATTCTGCACTGTTTAACATTTGGAGAGGTGCTGTGAGCAGACAGTTAACAAACTCCTTTGGTTTCTCCAAGGAATTTAGGAACATGTTCCAGGAGTCAACTTCAGATTTAGGATGGTATACCTCTTTCTGATGTAGTGTACAGAAGCCAAAACCTTGAACCAGATCTGTAGTTTTAGAGGCACAATTTTTTTTTAGCACTGTAATTGTAAGGTACTTTGCAGAGAAAAGTAAAGAAAAAGAAAGCTTCTGTAAGGAAATACAGTAGCAAAGAGAGTATAAAACATCAAGATATTCTACATCTAATGAATTTTGTTGGTCCTTGTGAGATGTAGGTTTCAGGCTGGCAACTTGTGATGTGCCAATTTTAATCTCAGCTCTGACACACATAATTCTTGATCATGAATTTCACTTGGGGTGAAATTCCAAGTGGCTTCAAAAGAGCCAGGATTCATTTAGTCTGTCCAGTAGCCTTGTGCACGAATTTTTGGGTTGTTTAGTCAGTACAATTGCAAGTATCCAGTTCACAGAAATAGCACAAGATTGATTAGACAGTGAGTATAAAGGGGTTAGAAGGTGAGAGTGGAGCTCCTCTGGCAGTGGTCTAAATCTGGAGTGCAGTAGTATTTGTAAGTGGTTGTGCTGAACTGATGGATGTCTGAAAGGTCAAATCCCTTCTGATATTTAATCTTGATGTTTTAACAGCTGTTTGAGGAGTTTTTGCCTTCTCCTCATACATATAGAGAATAGTTTATTGAGCTGTTATAAATATCAAGCCAAACAAAAAGTGAACATTTGCATAAGATGGAAACAGAAAAGAGGAGAACAGTCTTTGAATGCAAATGATAGCTTGGGCTTTCTGCAGCTGAGAAACAATTCTATCTTTCACTTGCTGATTGTGTATTTACATTTCACATTTGATGTAGATGCCTCAAAAGCTGCTGTATTTTTGGTTAATTTCAGAGTTGTAGAGTTAGAGATTGCCATGTGTTGGAATGGGCCTTAAAAGTCATCTAGTTAATTTAATTGGCACATATGAATAGACTGAATAATTAAAGAGAAGGAATAATTCTTCTAAGCAGTACACAACTGGAAAATATAAATATATATGTATAAAAAATACATGGTGTTCTGATATTAAAACTACTACCATTGGGCATAAACAGGTTATAGACACACCTTATAACATGACAACAATATTATTACATATTTAATTTTTATTATTTTATTTTTTGCAACACTTCCAACCACTTTCCAGAAAGAACTGTAAAGTCCTCTCCTTTTCTTCCTTATGCTCTGATTTTTCTCTTTTTAGGCTTTACTTTGTGGGAGTCCAAATATTCTTGGAACTGGAATGCTGTTGATGTGGGACCAAAGAGAGATCTTGTTGCTGAACTAGCAACGTCTGTTAGAAACAGGACTGACTTGCATTTTGGGTTATACCATTCCCTGTTTGAATGGTTCAATCCTCTCTTCCTTGAGGATGCCACCAATGCCTTTAACACAAGCAAGTTTCCAACCAGCAAATCTTTACCAGAACTCTATGAAATTGTGACCAAGTACCAGCCAGAAATAATTTGGTCTGATGGGGATGGAAATGCTCCAGATACTTACTGGAACAGCACTGGTTTCTTGGCTTGGCTGTATAATGACAGGTACATAATAATGCTGGTTTAGCTCCTTACTTGAAATTTTGCTGTGTCTAGTTTGTTTCATTTTCTGTTTGTTTTTTGGAACCTGCTACTTCTGCTTAAGAAGACTTTACAAAATATTAATTCTCCTGAAACACAGAATCCAGATTTTTTCCTACAACTGTCAAAGCTGGTTTTAGAAAAAGACTGGTTTGTATTTTTTAAATACATTTGCAAATTAATAATTTAAGATGGTGTTGGCTATTCTGCTTAATCATAGTCTTCCCTAAGTATTTGCTGTTGCACAAAAACAAAGAATAGCAGGACAATTTGAGAATATGGATACATTGTTGTCATCACAGACTGAACATCTGGCAGTAGTTATGAAGTGCAGAGTGATTTCTGGCAGAACTCCTGTAAAAGTCTGGAGCTTATTTCGCTAAGAAATTCTGATTTGGACCTTTTTATTAGCAAAGCATTAGAATAGAATTCCTGACATTGCACTTAATCTTATTGTAATAAATTAATAGTACAGAAGTAATCCAAAATGTTAGTTCCTGGGAGGGATGTGTGTGGGAAGGGATTACGCTGGCTGTGACTGCGTTTCATAGAATCAGAATAATAAAACTCCTCTGTTCCCAGCCCGGTCCGGGACACGGTGGTGACCAATGACCGCTGGGGAGCTGGCACCATCTGCGCCCACGGCGGCTTCTACACGTGCAGCGACCGCTACAACCCCGGGCACCTGCTGCCCCACAAGTGGGAGAACTGCATGACCATGGACCGCAGCTCCTGGGGCTACCGCAGGGACGCGCGCCTCCGGGACTACCTCCCCATCGAGGACTTGGTGAAGGTACCGCGGGCCACGGCGGCTGCTGCCGCTCCACGCTCTCTCTCCTGGTTGTTGTATTGTGCTGTTTTACTGCTCCATTATGTGTCTATGTTTGTGAATAAGATGATTTTAATTCAATAGTGAATCTGTGAAATAATAAATAATTTTGTTAATTTCCAGCCTTAAGGCTGGGTGGATGGAAAATCCATGTAATTCTTTGTCTTTCTCTTAGTCATTTCTATAGAATGAATTTCTAGTAAAAATTCAGTCAGTTTCCCAGAAGCTGTTCTCCCTGTGAGTAACTGGCCAAGGACTGATCTGCACAGTCGCATCATTACCTTTTCGACTAAGTTTCTCTGGTAACTGCATATGCAAGCTGATGAGAAGCGAACCATTGCAGTTTCACAGCTTCTGTTTAGGAACTCCTGCTGGAAAGCTACATCGTTTCCCCTGTACAGCTAGAAACAGTTTATGACTCGGCAATAGTTTTTCTTTGTAGCAAGACACTTTCCTTACAGACATACAGATAAACACTACCAGAAGCAGACAACTGATATTGTTAGAACATTGATTCTCTTACTAGGCTGAGGTATTGAAAAAGATCTGAAGCTTGGGAGACTGGAATGAAAGGAAGACTGATCAGTCTTCCAGAATAATGCATTCAGTTGCAGAATTCAGCCAGTACGGGAAAGATGGTTAATGTTGCTGTTTCTAGTGCTGTTCTCAGAAAAGACAATTTGAAATTGAAGTAACCTCTTTTCAGAGGCAAAAGGTTTGAATTAATTCAGCAGGATGTCTGCAGCTGTCTATTTCTCAGACTTATGCATCTCAGTCTGATGGGAGGAGGAGGGCAGTGTGGATGTGAACACAAATTTTGTAGGCTTTGTAGGAGGCTTCCTTGTGTTTTACAGATGGTTCTATAAAATAGGAAAGGCATCAAACAGGAGGAAGGAGGAAGCTGCTTTTCTAAGATTCAATAAAGATGAAGTAGCAACTATTTGCCTTATTCTACTCTGGTGCAGAGAAGTCATCTGTCCTATTGGTAAAACCCTCAATACATTCTTGCAGAAGTTGAAATGATAAAGAGTAGCAGAATCTGATTCTAACGTGGATTCAGGCAGATACATTGGTGCAAGAAGATATTTGGGGCTGGTTTTGGCCTAAAAATTGACAGTAGAGCTTTGTTTTGTGGGAGCTCAAATTTCGTATTAACTTTTGGGATGAATCCCAAAGTCTCAGCATGCAGCAGTAGCATAACTCATATTGTTCATCATTCTGAAGCAGTACAGCAGGCCTCAGAAAGTACTTCAAGTATGTGATTTCAGTACTTATAACCATATGCTCTGTGTGTTTAAAAACACTTCAGCAACTTGCAGAAACAGTGTCCTGTGGAGGAAATCTCCTGATGAACATTGGGCCCACCCACGACGGCCGCATCGCTGTTGTGTTTGAGGAGCGCCTGAGGCAGGTGGGCTCCTGGCTGAAGGTCAATGGAGAGGCCATCTATGGAACGAAGCCATGGAGAGCACAGAACGACACTGTCACACCTGGAGTCTGGTAAGGCTCCTGAAAAAAAATGCAGGCTCTGGAAAGCAGCACTAATGTTATGTGAAGCTATGCAATCCCTAATGACTTGATGCTACAGAAATCACTGTCTTAGTTTGTATGTGGTGAAGGAATGAATGCTTTTGTTAGTGTAAGTAACTGCATCTAAAATGTGTATAAAGCTGTAGGTAGAGGCTAGTTTTGGGATGATGCTGAGGCTGAAAAGAAAGCTGTAAGCATTTCTTTGGCAGTCTTTTGCTTCTTGGTGTAGGCTAATTTGTTAGGTAATTCTGTTGGCTTCTAGCGGGCAACAGAAATGAAAAAAAATCTGGAAATACAAGATTGCTAAGAAGTGTTTATCTGAACAAAGGAATACTCAATGTCACTTGATGTTTAGATAGAAAGTGGGAAGATAACAGCAATTATTTGGTCACTAAATACAGTCAGTCTCTGGTCTTCCCTGTGCCCTTTTTACTTGTAGCTTCTCTTAACACCTTAATGATCCATCAGGGGTCTGGTCTTGGCCCTCTTGTCTCAGTGGGTGTTTGGCCATCTGGCTTTAGCCTGGAAATGCTGAACTGTTGACTGTTTAGTAAAATCCCTTTTAAGAGCAATAAAAAACTGTAACTAAATAGGAAGGAGGGAGGGATGTTTCAGAGGAATGCCACAAGATTTCCATTGGCATAGTGATGAAAATAGTATTTTTAAAAACTAGCTATGCAAAGTGGAAACTCTGTTGCTCATACTGTTATTAAATGCTTCTAGTCTGCATGTTAGTGTATAGATGGGCTGTTGCTCATACTGTTATTAAATGCTTCTAGTCTGCATGTTAGTGTATAGTTAACATAGTTACCATGTTTTTCTGAATGTAAGTTATCTGTTAACTATTCCCCATCCTGCAAGTATCTGCTTCCTACATGGCTGAGTTGATACAGTGTGCCAAAGTTACCACAGATGTTTACCTCTGAATTCAGTTCTTTAATAGTTTTCATTACCTCTAGTTTGTTGAAACAAATTGTCAAGGAACAGCACTTTATTAAAGGGCATAATTCATCTGACCAGGTGGTTATGTGTGTGAAAATGTAATTAATCCTGACTTTTCTAATCCATTTTTCCAATCTTGAAAGCACTCTTATATATCACTTCTAAAGATTTACAAGGAAAAGCTGACCTGCCTTTTTGGTCCCCATTTCTAACCAGGTACACTTTCACCCCTAAAGAAGAGAAAGTCAATGCTATCTTCCTTAACTGGCCAGTCTCTGGGATTCTGGAACTTGGTGAGCCACGGGCTAAGCTTGGAGAAACACAGGTAAAAAGTGCACACACCACCCCTCCCCTCCTTCTAGGATGTGTCATATTCCATCTTGTTTATTTAAGTTTCTGGCATCTTTGGGAATGCATAGCTCTTAGGACAGAGTACTTTGGAAGAGACCCAGCAAAATGTTTGTTTTCTTTCTGGGACCTCCTTGTCACAGTCCTCTCAGTGGGACATTTCTTATCCAACAAAGTCAGACTGAGATGTTGCTGGGATACATTTTATCTTGCAAAATAAGAATCACAAAGAGGCCAAGGAGCAGGGGAAAAACTGTGCCACCCCTCCTGTTTCCTGTGTAGACTCCTAACTCAGCATGACTTTTCTTTAGAAGTAGCTGTCCTCATGACTTTGGTGATACCGGAGTTGCTGTAGTGGTGCAGTTGTTTGTCAAAGCCTTGCAGGAAGGGAATGTACACAGAGGTTTTTGTTGCCCAGGGAGGCTGAAGAGCAATCAGTGTTACCCTAGATGTGCATCTTATACCAAATGGATGTCAGAAGATGAGGACAGTGATACCACACCTACACTGGCAAGTAGCAAGTAACCCAATGAAAGCAGAAGTTGGTATCAACTCTGTGCATTTAAGGACAGATTCACTTTGGCTTAACTCTGCTCTGGTCTCATGCACTGCATGTCCATTTGCTGCTGAAATGCATTAGGAGTGTTTCTCGGGCTGCCCCCTCTGGTCTGGTTCCATATGAAAGTAGTCTGACTGGTGCCAAGACAGCTCTGTCATAGGGGAGGAGGAGTCATTTCAGAAGTGATGGAGATGCTTCTGGAATTTTAGGGGGAAGGTACACTCTATGTGCACTAGTGCACTATTGTTCCTCAGCAGCAGAGACTGGTCTGCAGCTACTCCAGCAGGTCACCAGCTGGAGTAAGTGACAAGATCAACATATGTGGTTTTTAGTTCTTCAGATCAGCTTTCTCTGAGATACCCAGCTGCCTTCTGTAACAAAGTCATGCTCATTCAAGACAAGTTTCACCATGGGAAGCAGGCTGAATGGAAACAGGGGATGCAAAGCTCTGTACTGTGGCTGCTAGATCTCTGCTTAGACCTGATTTTCAATTAGACTTTCAATTAGACTGTTTTCAATTTATTTTTTAAAGCCACTGAAATGAAACAAATCCTACTCCAAATGCTTCCAGGAGGTGTTTGTTCACTTTCTATGGCCCTAAGTCCTTCTCAAGACCCAACATGAGTAGCTTTTTCACTTGCATGATTACTTGCATATGCTTTCCCATTATCTTTAATAATTATCACTCATTTGTTGATAAGTGGCATTTTTAGGATACTTGGTAAGGTAGCTACGGATCAATAATTATTTTGTCAATATTGCACTTATAGGTACTTTGAAAAGGCGCTGTTCTAACTACAGTGTGTGTTTCTATTTTAGGTGAAGCTGGCTGGATACAGGGAGCTGCTGAAATGGGTTGCCCTGGGAGAAAAGGGAATGGTTATTGCTCTACCTCAATTGACTCCTCAGCAAATGCCATGTCAGTGGGGCTGGACCTTACAACTGACTCATGTAGACTGAGCTATACACTGCTGGAGTCCTGGCTAGCAGGGATTGCTAATGCTTTGCGCTTTCCTATCACTGGTTTTAAACTTGTTTGACTGAGAAAGACCAATAAATTCACTTTTGCTATGAGAGGTGGGCTGTTACTAAAGGATGGAATGGAACAAACCTCACAAAGTCTAGCACTAGATAATTGATCCTCTGCACACAGTTTGTTTCTCTGGGCTTGTGTGAAACACTGAGCAGTTACCTTGACCTGGAAACTTGGTTTAGTCAGTTTCTGGCCAAGTTATGTGAAGAATGAGGTGGGGGGAAACGGGCATAGACTTTCAGAGACAAAAGAGACTAAAGCTCAAGCCGGTAATCAAATGCACATAAGTCAGTTGTACACCCTCTTTAATGCATGAAATTTACCTTCCACAAAACTGCACAGTAAAACCTGACAGTTTTAGAGAAAAGAATGTCCTTTTCCAGCTGTGTTTAGCTAGTGGTAGCTGGCAGTTTCAGCTGAATAGGGTAATGTCTGCAAGAAGAAGCCTGTAAGGGTTGGAATTCATCATAAATGCATACAGGCAATGCATATGTACATCATAATTTCTTATCATGGAAGTCATTAATTTTACATGTACCTATTCTTGAGTAACTCCATCCATCCATCCAGGTAAACTGGGAGAGGGTTGGGTTTTATATTTTGTATAATTTTACATGGCATAAAACCTGCCTTTTGTTTACAGCCTTTGTTTATACACAGTTACCAGGGTGCCTTCTGTGGACAAAACATATACTTCAGTGAGTAACTCTTGAAAAAGAGAAATAATCACGAGTTGCTAGGGATCTTCAACTTTGGCAAAGAGACAACATTTTAAGCAGAGAGTAGACTGCATCCAACTTGAAAAATTTCCAAACTCATCATGTGTCATGATTTGTAGGGCTAGACACACAAGGTGAAACTTGCAAAGAGGAGAAGAAAAAGGACAACAAAAAGCATGAATTATTTCTGTTTCAGTGTAAAGATTGAAGGTTGATTTTCCCTGAGTAATGTTTGTGAGTGCAACATTAGTACTGTATAAGTTAAATTTATTCTTTCAACTCTGTCAGGATTGTGAGTTGATTGGATAGGTCAGGTTATTCTCCTCCCCAGTAATGTTAATACAGACACAAATTATACATTAAAATATTTTATTACAATACAGACAATTGGGCTCAAAATTAATACAAATTAAGATAAAATATTTACAAGGTAATGTGTACAGTGTAGCTGTTTGAACAGCATAAACAAGAGTATGTCTAAAAAACCACATTCCTTTAGTATTAAGTAACAGAGAGAGCAGACCCCCAGCTTGTTCAAGGGGAACATGCATCCATTGGCAAAGGCTTTCTGAAGAATGAGAGACTTTGGAACAAGATTTGTAAAGTTAAGGGCAAAAATATTTACTTCATAGAAAGAAAAATCCGGGGGAAGAAGAAGAAAAAAGCATTACTTCATTTTGCTGCTCTGTGCTATTCTTAGATCACTATCATTAGTTCTTCCCCAAACTTACACAGCCCAGGCAAAAAAATGGCTTTTTTAGTAACTTGCTGTAATACTGCCACCAGATGCCTTTTAGATGCAATAAAAAATAATCCAAGGAATTACAGAAGAGTTTAACCACTTTTTAAATAGAAAAGTCTTCACTTATGATGTTTCTTTCAACAAGAATATTTTTAATGGGTGAAGTATAATTTGGTTAGAAGAAAATATAGGCTCACTCCCACTTTCCTCGGAGTGCTCTTTCTGCTGGTCTGCCACTCCTACACCATTATAAAATTAACCCAAGTCTCATCAGTAGTCACCAGGGATTTGTTATAAATACATCATCCATTTGTAAAAATGTGCAGGTCATTTCTCTAGTTGCTGAGGGGTACTAAAAGCTTCATAAACATTAGCAGCAAAGTCTTTCACTTGTTCCATCATCAACAGGTCCTGGAAGAAATGCATAAAATAAACTTCCTTAATCAAACACATTCCCCACTATTCTGCCTGTACTGCAGTACAGAATTCCTAAGAAAGGCACTCCCACAGGCACAGCTCAAACTTCTTGCTTTAGAAAGGTTTAGGAGCAGACCTGCAAGTAGAACCAAGGCCAAAAGTTTGTGCTTCTGCATGGTTCAGCAGAAGAAAGTTTTAGAAAAACTGTGTATTTTTGGAAGATATCAATTGACAAAAAGTTTGTTATGGCAACTGTTTTCAATTTATTTTTTTAAAGCCACTGAAATGAAACAAATTATTAAAAAGAAATTTACAACATTAATTTCATGATTTTACTTGGGATACTGTAAATAAGGCAGATTCTTACCTGAACAAAGTGACTGGGTGTTTCACTGCATACTGAATGGATCTGTCCATTTATTATTGGAATTATCTTGGCTAAAGGAAGACTGACACTGGAAAGACTAGGAAAGAACAAAAAATACTGACCTGCACAGACACAGATGAAGCCACTAAACTGTGATTACAGAATTCTAAGTAATTACCACTTAAAAATAAGAAGTGAAAGACTGCAAATTAAATGTATGGATGAAGGGTTTTTTCTCCATATCAAGGTTTTCCTTTAATATACAGCAGTACTAATTCAATTCCAGTCCATGTTCCTATTGCAGTTTCACACTTGCTTCTCATGCAAGAGTATTATGGTTTAGTCAGAGTCATTGCATGTGTATGTAAGTAGACAGGTCATAGAAGTGCCTGTCTACAATTTCATACTATTTCAAACTCAACTAGACTTAGGCAGAGAGCCAAACTACAGACTTTGGGGTAATATAATCAATTATTTTAAGTGATGTAAATAGTATGTATTTAAATTAAAACATAACTCTCTGAAAGCCAAGTTACTACAATAAACATACATAAACCCAGTTATCATTCCAGGTTTTAATTTTAATATTTGAGAAAGATTATTTCAAGGATTTGAACTCAGCTTTTGGATTTGTAATGCTCTCACCACACTGCTTAAAACACAAGTTAACCTCAGATTAAAAGCTATATTTAAACATTCTTCTAGGAGGATGTACAAAATCCTACATGTTACTGCATTTTATCTGCATGCCAGGGAAACCTGAAGCTCCATGGCAGCTCTGGCTCCCTGTCACTGGAGGATCAGGAAAATGCCCACCCCCCTTCCCTGAGAGCCACAGGAACTGATGGAGGCTGGGGTGCTTGGAGCTCATGGGCTGCAGGGGAGGGAGGGCTCTCCTTCTCACAGCCTCACTGGGCACATCTGTCAGGAGTCACCACCAGAAGGTGAATCCTCCCCGGGCCAAAAGGCAGCCTGCCTGTACTGTGCTCAGGCAAGAAGTGGGTACAGGTCATCTGATCTCTACTTCTAGGAATGCAAGTAAAGGTGGGAAAGAACATCACCTAATTTGAGTGATTTCATGGGTGGGAGGAAACATGAATCCTCCCAGCCGCCTACTTGGCCACAGTGAGGAGAACCCAGTGATCCTTAAAGAGTAAGAAGCAGAACAATATTTCCAGCACAAGAACTCCAAGAAGGCAGGAAAATCAAGAGCCTTTTTGGAATTCACTACAAACCCAAAGCATTACTGACATAAGAACCACAACAAATGAAAACATTTACCTATTTACAGAGCTGTTTTGAGAAAGGTCCTTTTCAGTAGGTCTAAAAAATTCTGCCATGTTGTCCAGCAGTCGACTGAATCCTCTATTTAAACATGTGCTCAAAACTGTACTGAAGTCTGGACTGAAAAGAAAGAATAATAGAAAAAAAAAAGGTTTTATTCTTGGGTTTCGTTTTTTTCCAACTAAAAAGCCCTGCAAGTGTTCAGTGCTACAGGTGTGCCTCCCCGCATGGGTAATGTGTGAGCCAGACAAATGCCACTAGCATTGCCACCTCATGAAACACCAACTCCCTCAAGAACCTGAACTCTATCCTAAGGTTACTAAAACTCAGATAAACCTGAAACATTCCTCACTTCTATTTCTTACTAAGTAATAACACAGAAGAGACTTAACCTTGAAGTGCCTCACATCCCCAGCAGCTAAACTGTAAGAATAGTTTGACATTTGTCTCAATTTCCTCATATTCTATGTTTATTATAGGAGCCTCACTTTTACCAGCATTCTGGTACAACCACATTCAAAACCATGCATTAAAAATAAATTCCAATAAGCCAAAACTGGTGTTCACTTTATCAAAGCAAGCAAATCCAATAAAATTACTTTCAATTTACCCTGCTTTAGCAGAAGAGAAGTACTCCTCTGTTCCTACATTACTACAGAGTGGGTAAGGAAGAGATAATAGGTCTGATTGCCAAGGACATCCTGGGTATCTCATTAAGGCAGCATTATTTATTTAAAACTTTCAGAGCTCACAAGTTTTGAAAATCCCAGCCTACAACTGATAAATAGAAAAATTTAGTGCAGAATAGTCACGTTTCTCAAATGAAAAGTTGTCAGCTTTCTGTATGGAAGTAATTGTCTTACATAAACAATAGAGGAGGAGTTTAATGTGAATACAGCATATTTCTCTATACCTTTCTAGCATATCTCTAGTTTCATTCAGTAATTTAATTGTAGCAATGTCTCTTTCTGTGAGTCCACAGGCCTGGAAAAACCAAAGACAGATACTATTAGCAAGTGCCATCAGCAACCATAAGAGCAGAAATAAGAAAGTAGAGTATCACGGAATTAAGTCAAGATAAAAGTACAAGTCAAATATAAAAGAAAATATTGTTGTAAATCAGATTCTTTACAATTTGTGTTTTAAATGGTCACTGTAGGATTTTTAACTAAAAACAATACTAGCTGGAAATACCAGATTGTTTGAGGAAGTAATTTTTCCAATTCTGACCTTCAGTACTGAAATCATCCCAGGGTATCAGATAAAGTTAAAGCAATAAGTGCATGTAGCCACATGCTGAGGCCCAGGTTTCCTCATTACACCAGTGTAACACCAAGTGAAGAATGAGTTTTCTCCAGCCCATGGTGTAGATGGAGACAAACACCTTCACAAAATTCAAGAAATTAATGTTGCAACTGAGATTAGATACACTTTTCTCTTGAGTCCAGTTCATTTTTCAGCCCAAAGGACTCCAGCACAGCATTCTCTTGTGCACCAGCCGAGATGCTCCAACACTCCATGAATATTGCTGGTACACAAGTGTGGATGACACAATTTATCTTAGGGCCGAGTTAAGCTGTGCTGTGTCACAGCTTCTTTCACAGGCTAAAGGCAGTAACTGGGCTGCATTTCTGAGCACAAAGCTGACATTCTGAGGGTGACACTTGTTTTCTATCAAATCTGAAGAAAATACAACTGTGTCTAGATGAAAGAGATAAGGCCATTTGATTTATGACGGAAGAGGCTTTGCCATTTATTGAAGACACAGATGCCATGGTATACTGGACGACTGTTATGCACCCTTCCTTCTCCAAAAAAATTCCAAAAGAAAAGCAGAATGAAAAAAGATGAAAAGAATTGAGTCAAGTACCTGGCTGGCCAAAGGGTTTTCTTCATCTGGCATCAGATAATGACATAAGGGAGAATAAGATGCAATCTGATCCGAATCTTTATGTTCCACTACTTCCCTGATATCTTTAAGTTTCTGTTCCAGTTCCAGAAGAGACAGGGTCTGCTTAAGGGAAATACTGGAAAGGAAAAAGATCACGGTTTTGATTGCAAAATGAGTAATGCTGCTTTCTCTTTCTACCAATAACATGTTTACAAGTAACAAAATTCCAGTCAGCTACATGGGTTTGCACTGGCAGACACAGCCTGCTATAATAAAAGCATTGTTTTGAAAAAGTCAATATGCCTGCTTTTGTTTCCCCCTAATTCTTATAAAACTCTTTATTTTGGGAACAGTCATCACAATATAACTTAAGAGCTAACCACAGAGAAATACAGGCTCTTACCTTCCAAAAACTTTATGCACAGCTTGTTTAACAATCGTTATTAACTCAGTCAGTCCTAAAAGGAAGAAAGTAAAAATTATTCCAATGATTTGCTCAAGTCCCAAAAAAAGCAGAATTTTGTAAGTGTAGTTAGCTCTTAATAACCACCATACCATCTCCTAAAAGGTGCTGAATGCTTGATAAATATTGCTGCTGGACTTCAGGGGGTGCTAGTGGTGTCTGTGGGGGGGAAAAAACCAACAGTTCTGTAACATGTCAACAGTAGAGAACAATGCAAAAACAATTTCAAAAATAATTTCCTTAATCTTTGTAATACTCTTCAGTAAACAGATTGCCCCACTCTCTTCAACTTTGTACTGACTCTTCCTGCCCATCAACCCCTGTATGTGTCATAAGTCTTCTGGCATTCTTTTCTTCAGACCTATACAGATTTATCTTCCATCTTCAGTGGCACAGAAAAATCTTTCACTTTTCATTCACCTAAAGGAAACTCTCTTAAAAACCTGCA